CTCATCCCGTCCTAAGTTGCTTCCTTTGCTGAACACCCATGTCCTCGAGTCCCCAGCGCAGCCACTCCTCCGAGTAGGACTGCTTCTCCTCGAGCTGCAGGGCATACTGGTGCCAGTCGGGCGTGTCGAAAAATTGATAGAACTGCTTTTCCCACCGCCATGCAAGGAAGCCTCCGGTGGCCCTAAGATCCGAAAATGTTTTCAATGTGCTTCAAGCACGTGGAATTCTTAAAGAGGAAAGTTCTTAGAACCAGCCGTCATTGATCGTAAGAGCTCATAAGTACGAAGTGGCCCGCCCAAGAATGATCAAACAGCCAAGTTTAATGGCCCCAGGGTCGAGAAACGTGATCCAAGAGAGCTTTTTTGGACACGACGGTGGACCGTTTTCCATGTATTCGGACATATCCTCCTGATCGTCCTTTGGGATATTGAGCATAGATCTTATCATTACACTTTGGGTGGCCCTGATTTGGCCCTGGTGTTGGCGGGTACAAACAAAAGAGCCGAAACAGTGGAATGCTGCTGCCCGCACCGCCCTGTCGAGCAGCGTCAGCCTTTGTCGTAGAGGGGCCCTCTGTGCGCAGAGTGATGCACGATTCTTAGCGAAACTAGCCCACCCGCGCGAGAGGCCCATCTGCACCGCGGATCTCGCGCTGCCATCTAAAGAGACATGGGCGCCCAACAGATTGATACCTGTGCTTCGGGGGATTCGATCAAGAATACCTTCGGGGAGTTGGACTTTCATTTGGCTGGTGTCAGGCGCCGTGGAGATCCAACAACACTCGTCGTGCCTGACCACTACCGCGCACTTACGAATGACGTCGTGCCATGCCGTCATCATCTGAGCCAACATGGCCACGGAGGTGGCGCAGATGAAAAAAAAATCAGCGATCAGAAGCAGGCTCAGGCGATCCACCTGGAAGTGTCTCATGACCTCCAAGTCCTCCTCCTGCAATGGAAATCCCCACCCCTCCGATATGCACCTAGCTTCAAAATCGCGCACAGCATCGTCGGCGTAAAGATAGAACTGGCATGGGGCTTCTGGGTCTCCCTGCAGCAACGAACGAGTCCTGGGTACGGCACGTGTCGCGGGAAACCCAAGTAAAAGTAGCTCGGAGGCGCCCCCACGAATCTCTCGAAGCCAGGCAGCGGTTATGATCTTTGGGCTCCCCCTCCCTCGGTGGTCCCTCATAATCTTCATGTGGGGGACGTGATCGCAGGCTTTGTGGAAGTCCCCAATCCCCAGGAACCGCATGCGAATTGCGCCACTGGGACCTTTGGTTGAGCTCCCTACGGGGCCGCGAAACGCTGGGCGCAGCAACTGTATGCGGATTGCGCCGCTGAAACCTTCAATAAAGCTCCCTCTGGGACCGAAACGCTGTACTTGATTGGGGGGACGCATGCGAACTGCGCCGCTGGGACCATCGGTGGAGCTCCCTCTGGGGCGGAGGAGGAAGGAGGGGGAGGAGGGAGGAGGGGCGAGGAGAAGGAGGAGACGCTGGGCGTTGTCTCTTCAGGACCCAACACCACAGGATGGTTGGGAAAAAAAGCAGCCCCGACCTCCCATCTCTCATAAACACATACACCCTTTTCTGCGACCCAACTGGCCCGACAAACGGCCAAACCACCAGCCGTGATCCGCACATCATGGGAAGGCGGGTGGGAGTGGGCAGGGACCGCTGATGCGTTCGAGATGGCTTGCTTGACAACACTCCTGAACCAACCCTTCCCCAAAACCCTGACGTCATGATTCTTTCACAACGTCGACCCTCGAAGGTCTTGATAGCATCCTTTTGACCGGTTCTTCCTCCCGGCTTGTTTCTTCGACAAGCCTGGGGCCTGGCGAGGGCCCCCAGAGGCCAAAAATGGCAGACAACCACCCACTTTGTGATTTTCGCCACGACAGAGAGGCAGAGAGAGAGAGAGAACAGGGGTCTGTTACCAGCCTCGAACGTATCCCTATCCCTAAGATTGACACGCCCAAAGGCGATGACAATCTTAGGGATTCGCCCTCAAAGAAAAAGGGAATCCCTAAGATTGGCAGCGTGATGAGGCGGTGCCCAGCATAGGGATAGGGATATGTTCCAGGCTGGTGAGTCTGCCATCTCCCCTGGGCTCCAGCGCTGCTGCCGCGCACACGCCCGCGGAAGGCCCCCGGACCGTGCTGGCGCCCCCCCGAGAGGCACCCCCCGGCCTCCCATGGCCCGTGGCTGACTAGCTACCAGACCACCCCAACCCAACCCGAAGACACGAATTTGACCCGAATTTCGGGTTGGGGGGGTGACTACCTACCAGACCACCCCAACCCAACCCGAAGACCCGCATTTCGGGTTGGGGGGGGGTAAGCGCGTGTTTTTGTCGATGTTTCCCGACCCCCCCCCACTAGAAATCGAGGGTAAATCTGGGCCTTCGGGTTGGGTTGGGGTGGTTTGGTGGGTGGTGAGGGGGGGTGCGGATTCCATGTGTTGTTTCAACGTTCCCCGACCCCCCCCACTGGAAGTGGAAGGCAAATTGGGGGCTTCGGGTTTTGCCAGCCTGGAACAGATCCCTGTCTCTATGCTGGGCACCTCCTCATCACGATGCCAATCTTAGGGATCCCCTTGCTTTTTGAGGGCGAATCCCTAAGATTGCCATCGCCTCTTGGCGTGCCAATCTCAGGAATAGGCATACGCTCGAGGCTGGTAAGAGCTGGGCTGGGGTGGCTTGGTGGGTGGTGAGCAGCTCGCTGCACGCTCGCGGCAGAGCCGCGTGCCTGTGAGCGCCGCCGCCGGGACAGGCCACTGACTACCTACCAAACCACCCCAACCCAACCCGAAGACCCGAATTTGACCCGAATTTCGGGTTGGGGGGGGTACGGGTTCCATGTGTTTTTTCAATGTTCAACCCCCCCCCCCCACTGGAAATCGAGGATAATTTTGGACCTTCGGGTTGGGTTGGGGTGGTTTGGTGGGTGGTGAGCCACGAGGCCGCGAGGGCGGCGCGCCGGCCTCTCCCGGAGCGACCCCGCGGGGCCGCGGGGGGGGGGGCCGAGTGCGGCCGAGAGAGCCGCGGCGACCGGTGCTCGGCTTCCCTTCGGGGCCGCCGGCCGGGAGCGAGCGAGAGGAGGGCGGCTGCGGCCCCGCCGTGCCTGTTGCTGCCCGCGTGGTGCCGCTCACGCGCCAGCCCCTCCCCCCGCCACTCCCCGCCCCTGCCCTCCGCTACGGGCGCCATGCACTCGCGGTCCCGCCCTTCTCCGCGGCCCTCTCTCTCTCTCTCTCTCTCTCTTGTTCTCTCTCTCTCTCTCTCTCTCCCTCTCTCTCTCTTTCTCTCTCTCTCTCACTTTTTCTTTCCCCGCAGCGTCTCCTTCCGCGCCTTCCCTGCCTCCGGCAACCTCGGCGATTGGCGCCCGATCCTACCAGACGCCGCCCCGGCGGGAGGCAGCCCGCGTTGTGCCGCCTGCACTCTTCTCGGAGCCGGGCGCCCGACAGACAAAAAAGTGGTTATGCGTCCGCCCGTCTCTTCGGGAGCGGCCAAGAGAGGGGTGTCCAAGAGAGGGGGGTGCAGATCATGACCGGCGGCATGTGCGCGGCCCAGCGGGGGGGCCTGGGACGTAATGAAATAAGAAGAGGCGCCATGAAATCTGCGGAGATATCATGGCCCGCGCCATGATATCCACGCCCCCCTAGTCATCACCCCCCTCTTTTCCGCCCCCGATCTCTCATACAGTCGGACCTAGGCCAGAAGAGCGTCCCCCAAGAACATGGGACCCTCCGTCGGCCAAGATACACAGAACGTCCATGGGTACTCTCTCCCCAGGATGCACAAGAATACACCAGGGTAGTTACCCTGCACGAATCGACCTCGACCTTACGCCTCGGTCCGACTGCACACGCCTCCCAAATGGGGTCCGAGCAGATGGGGTCGGAAGCTCTCGCCGCATCGCCGGCGCAGCACCGATGCGTTGGCGATGCACTGTCGACGTCGGCGATGCATCGGCTCCGTCGGCGTGGATAGAATCGGGCTCTACATCGAGCCGCATCGCCGATGCATCGGCGATGCGGCGCGATCCTTCGACCCCATCTACTCTGACCCCATCAGGGAGGCCCAGATCGCAAAGGCCGCTGAGGGCAAGCTGGACGGGGCCGCATCGCCCGCATCCCCTCATCTCCCCACCCTATCTCGCCGCGAAAAAACACGACGGGAGATTTTGGACAACTTTCGGCCTCCAGGGGCCCTTGCCAGGCCCCGGGACCGTCAAAAAACGGCTCAGGATGAAACACCTGTCCAGGGGAAGGGGTCGAAACCTCTGGGGGTCGGCGCTGTGAAACAGAATGTCACGACGTCGGAGATCTGGCCGCTGCCCCGCTCGCCGCCCCTCTCCGCCCCTGGCTCACCTCACCAGGGGGCTCTCCTGCACACAGGTCGTCTGCGAATCCCCC